TATATCTATATATAGAACAACTCTATAAGATTGTCAGATACATGAGAGAATTTGAGCAAATCGATTCTCTAAAAGAACTCAATTACATCTACAACTATACAAAAAGGAGAGAATTCAGAAAATATTCAAAACAGTCCTTCGCATCAACCACACACACTAGGGCAACGGATACGAGGATGAGCAGAGTTGATCACACATAAACTGAAGACTTGTATAATACATAAAATCGCTCCACTCTTGGGAGGCCAAGGTGGGCAGATCACTTGAGTCCAGGAGTTTGAGACCAACCTAGGTGATATGGTGAAACCTCATCCTACAAAAAATAAAAAAAAATTTATCTGGTGTGGTGCATCGCGCCTGTAGTCCTAGCTACTCAGGAGGCTGAGATGGGAGGATCACTTGAACCTGGGCAGTAGAGATTACAGTGACCAAGAATGTGCCATTGCATTTCAGCCTGGGTGACACAGCAAGACCTCCTCCCAAAAAAAAGAAGAGAAGAGAAAAAAGAGAACATGTTGGAGTGCCACACACTTCCAATTTAAAAAAACTACTACAAAGCTACAGTAATCAGGACAGTGTGGTGAACTGGCAATACGGACAGACATAGAGATCAATGAAATATAAACAAGAGTTCCTAAGAGTCCAGAAAACTAACCTCACATTTGGTTTCACCTGCAAGAGCCGAACAATTTAATGGGTGAGTTCAATGGGCAAAACACAGTCTTGCAAAAGAAAGAGGTCAGCACCCTGCCCTCACACCAATACCACAAAAATTAACTCAAAATGGATGAAAACAAATGAGGAGCTAAAGCTATAAAACTCGAGAACATAGACCATAAATCTTTCTTGACCTTGGATGAGCAACAGTTTCATAAATATGATACCAAAAGCACAAGCAAACCAAAGAAAAATAGATAGACTGGGCTTCATCAGAATTTAAATTTTCAAGTCAGCGCATGGTGGCTCACACCCTGAAATCCCAGCACTTTGGGAGGCTGAGGCAGGAGGATTGCTTGAGACTGGGAGGGCAAGGTGGCAGTGAGCCAAGATGCATCACAGCACTCCAGCTTGGGCCAACAGAACAAGATCCTGTCAAAAAAAAAAAAAAAAAAAAAAAAAAAAGAAAAAAAAAAAAAAAAAGGTGTTTCAATGGACACTATCAAGAAAGTGAAAAGTGTCCCACAGGATAGGAGAAAATAGCTGACAATCATATATCTGATAATGGATTCTAACCAGCATATATAAAGAACGCTTACAACTCAATAATAAAAGACAAATAGCCCAGTTTAAAAATGGGCTGAGCCAGGCACGGTGGCTCACTCCTGTAATTCCAGCACTTTGGGAGGCTGAGGCAGGCAGATAACCTGAGGTCAAGAGTTCAAGACCAGCCTGGCCAACATGGTGAAACCCCATCTCTACTAAAAATACAAAAATTAGGCAGGAGTGGTGGCAGGCGCCTGTAATTCCAGCTACTCAGGAGGCTGAGGCAGGAGAATCACTTGAACCCAGGAGGCGGAGTTTGCAGTGAGCCAAGGTCGTGCCACGGCACTTCAGCCTGGGCGACAGAGGAAGACTCCATCTCAAAATTTAAAAAATAAAAATAAAAAAGGGCTGATATGGTTGGGATGTTTGTCTCCTCCAAATATGCTGAAATATGATCTCCAATGCTGGAGGTGGGGCCTGTTGGGAGATGTTTGGGTCATGGAGGTGACTCCCTCATGAATGGCTTGGTGTCCCCCTCGCAGTAATGAGGGAGTTCTTGCTCTGTCACTTCACAAGAGAGCTCGTTGTCTGAAGGAGGCTGGCACTTCCCACTCCCTCTTTTGCTCACACTGGCTCCCCTTTGCCTTCTACCATGATTGGAAGCTTCCTGAGGCCTGCTCCAGGAGCAGGTGCTGGTGCCATGCGTCCTGTACAGCCTGTAGAACTGTGAGCCAAATAAACCTCTTTTCTTTACAAATTACTCAGTCTCAGCTATTCCTTTATAGCAATGCAAACAGACTAATGCATAAGCATAGGATGTAAATAGACATTTCTCCAAAGAAGATATACAAATGGCCAATAAGCACATGAAAAGATACTCAACATCATTAATCGTTAGGAAAATGCAAATCAAAACCACAATGAGATACCACTTTGTACCCACTAGGTTAGTTATAATAAAAAAGACAGATGTAACAAGTGTTGATGAGAATATGGAGAAATCAGAAACCTCATACACTGCTGCTAAGAATGTAAAACGTTTTGGAAAAAGCCTGACAGTTCAAAAGGTTATATATAGAGTTATATGATCCAGCAATTCAGCACCTAAAAGGTACATATCCAAGAGAAATGAAAACATATATTCACATAAAAACTTACATAAGGCTGGGTGCAGTGGCTCA